TTGAAGAAGTTTAGCCAGACGGCTCACTTGCTGTCTCTGGCAGTAAGGATCCCATGGTAGCCAGCCTGCCTGCAGATCCTGTTCCTGTGGGATCACTGCTGTGCCATGCTCAGAGCACGGCTCTGCCCAGCACCCCGCACCCCTCCCAGGCCTAGGACACATGGACCTTGCCCTTGTGTTCCCCTCGTTCTCCACACTCGCAGGTAAAAGCCAGATTTTCAACCAAGATCAGTGGGAGGTTAAGAAGAGACAGTTCATTTACCAGCAACCCCTTAAATTTCTTTTTGGAGGACGAAATTGCATTTTGAAGATTGAGATGAGGGAGAAACACTCATTTTGCCCTCAACTCACTCTATCCTAGATTATTTTCACTCAATTATTACCTGAAAATATGCAAAACTTCATAATTATTATCTGAAAATATGCCAAACTTCATCCTAGCCAGCTATAAAAAAATCTTTTAATTAAGCCAAGTATTGTCTATGCTTTTCATTTTTCATTCCATGCACCAAACATTTTGTATGAGAATCTTGGCACTCCAACACAAAACACTTTCAAAATGTAAATGCTCCAGCTCACATGCATAATTTCTGAAGACATTCATCTGAGGGGCTGAATAGTTCTATCAGCAGTTATATTTCAAGTTACAGACTAAAAATTATTTTAAATTTAAACCCTGGAAATTGCCAATCTGATGAACAGATTTTAATCCCTCTTCAATTAAGATGCACGTGGTCTTTATACACTGCTATGTTAATTTTCAGCATACTTACAAAACCCTCACTGTGAAATAAACCAGGCAATTCTGCTTCTTTTACTTTCAGAGGTAATTTCCAGCAAGCCTCCACAAAATAATAAATTAATATGTGAGAAACAATTTTATATTCCTTTAAGATAGCCCTCATCAACAAAACTGCCCCCAAGTATTACAACCTAAGAATAAAAAAAAAAAAACCAAAAAACCTTCTTTAGATAAATAGAATAATTAGGAGCAATATTGCCGAGTACTCTGAAATTTCTCAGTGAGGAGTGTTCAGCAGTTTGTGAACCCTCAACTAATATTTTATTTGCATTGTACCGTATAGCTGCTACAGGCCTCTAAAAGCTACTTTGAAGAAATTAATTTTAGCTATCACCAAGCCATATGCTCCTAAATTCCTTTCTTAATCTACACAGTTCACTAAAACATTCTCTAGTTACTTTGAGCATGATCAGCCAATAAATACTGCTTTACTACTTACAGTTATGAGTTGTATTTCAGTTTATGTTGCCATAAAACACTTAGAATGCAATGCCAATACGGAGATGGTTTTGATACAATGCTGTCAATGGCCTGAATTTAAAACTATTTTGGTATAAGTCTCTAGGTATTTTCAAATTTTTTTTTTTTTTTAAAGGGGGGGGGGTTATTTGTTTGATTTGGGTTTTGGGGGGGTTGGTGGGGTTTTTTTGTGTGTTTGTTTTTTTTAGAGAAACCCCCCAAACTTATTTGCATTTGGTCTGCTATTTACTTTAAATCCTAGACATAAATAAAATTACAGGAAAAGATTAAAATATTTTACACAAGCCTCCCATTTTTTCCTGTGTGCAGAAAAAGCATTTTGGTTTAGAAATATATATCAAAGGACTAGTTTCCTCATAAAGTGTCCTAAAATATATTTACTTTCAGATACTTTAATTTCCACAGAGATTAGTCTTTATAAAGAATTGAAAATACCTATTATCGTAAGTCTGGCAATTTCACAGTAGTAATAAATCTTAAGTGTTTAACCGTCTGTCAAATTGCGCCTAACTCAGTACATCTCTATCCACATGCTACTTTGGTCTATAAATGGCATTACTCTAATATTTAAGTATTCTACTTAAAATAAATTCCTTCATTAACACCCGAAGAGAGAGTGGGAGTGTGCATGAGCATGTGCCAGGGTGCACACGTAAAAGATAAAAAGAAAACACACTTTTGGTGCTTATGGACCTTTAAAGGCCTCAAAAAATAGTATTTAAAAATATATTATAAAAATGATAATTAGAAACAAATCCTGAACAATTTCAGGTATTAAAAAATTTAAACATGAATGCTGAATATATTTAGGTTCAAATTCACGTTGCTAAGAAAATCAGGAGATGCAATTGTGATGAGATACAATGACTGAAGATCATCAGATAGTTACCTGCAAAGCCAGGAGTTGAGCAATGCCATCAGGTCCCTTCTCTCGTATGTGTCCCTACAGATAAACCCCATGCACTGGCTGGTGGTTACGTTACAGCTGCTCTGCACAGGGATGCTTAATAATGCTTCACACAGACTGAAATATTAAATAATGTAAGAAACTTGCACCGCCCAACTTTGTTTCTTCTCTTAAGCTCCCTTCTATTTTTATTTTTTAGAAGGGAAGGGGGAAGCGCCATTCAGGAAAGCAGCTATATTGTGCTCAATGAAGGCAGGACTGGCACAAGTCCTAGAACATTTGCATTCAGAAATAAAAGCTGTGATCGACCTTTGTCTGCTAAGAAAATGAAGCTTGCTGGTTTTAAACAGGCTAGCGAAGGGAGGGGCAGACTCGATAGAGAGGGAGAAGAGAACCTAAAAAACAGCAACAATAGCAAATATTAGTCTATCACATCCTTAATAGGCAGCAAAGCGATCCTCCCGAATGAGCCTGGACCTCGCCGGGCTGATAACGCACTCCTGGTTAATCATAAATTATCAGGCAGACGCGAGCCAATGTGCCGATCCCCACGTAGTTCCCGAAACTTGATTTTCCCACTTGGCATCCCCTACGCTCCGGCGGGAGCAGCTTACCCTGGCAGGGCGGGACGGCGGCCCGGGAGCCGCCGATGGATGCGGCGCTGGGTGTTCCCCTCGCAGCTCCGCAGTCCCCGGGAAGGCGGGCGGGAGGCTCCGGGCGAGGCGGCGCATCTGCGCGGCCGGGCAGGCCCGGGAGGCGGCCTCGCCCCGCGCCCCGCACCGGCCCCGCCGGCAACAATGGGCGGCTGCGAGGGGTGGCAGGGACGGCGGCGAAGGGAAGGGAGCGGAGCAGGCAGAAGGGAAGGGAGAAGAGAGGGGAGGGAGCGAGGGAGGGAGCGAAGGGGGAGAGACGGAGGGAAAGAGGAGGGGAGGGGAAAAAAGAGAAGCGTGTTAAGCTTGTCTGGTAGTTAACAAGTCTTGAATGAAGAATGTTAGCAAACAGACAAACAGCATGTCTGATGCATGCTAATAGTCCTGGCTTCACCACTGACAATATGAATAATTCAGTAGAAAAGAGGGAAAAGAAGAAGCGGGGGGGGGAAGGAAAAAAAAAAAAAAAAGGCATCCTCCCTTCACGCTCCCAAACGTCTGCAGAGGAGACGGGAATAAAAAGTGTGCCGCAACTTTCTCCTTCCGACCCATCGCACAGAAAATATTCAGCAAAAAGGCCGGTCGGACACCAGCCCTTTCTCCAGCCCTGCCTCTCGGAGATTTTCGATTCCTATTTTTGTTGCCTATTAATTTCCACCCCCCTCCCTCTTTACCGCCTATTTTACTTCTTTTGTCTGGGAGCTGGCACCTGTCCCAGAGACGGCATTTTACTGCACATCCCCTTTTCCCTCCTCAGCAGAGAAAAGGGCGGGGGGGAAGGTCTGCAAGGACGAAACTGCCTGTGCACCCCCTGCCTCCCCAGACATCCCCCCCATATTTCCTTTTCAGCCATGGTCCAATTACAAGGGGTTTGGAGGGATATCACACGCCCTATTTCACATGGCGCAGACACCTACAGCCATTAAAAATATATTTCTATGAAAGAGAAAGGCAGAGAAAGCAAGAGGCTTGCTCCCTGAGCAGCACTGTGCACTGGGACTCCGGGGAGGAAAACCACTAGCAAAAGCCCTCATCCTCACAGCACACAAACCTGCAAAGCCCGAATCACTGCTCAGGCAAAGGAATCCATTTCCTTAACAGAGGGAAAAGGGAGTGAGGGAAAGGGATGAGGGCAGGGACGAGCCCTCGGCGCTTTGCCCTCTGCATTGGGATGTACAGCGCAGGAAAGGCGAGAACCAGCCCCGCTCGGGAACGCTGGGAGAGGAGGGCTGAGGCAAGCAGAAGAAAAAGAAGATCCCTATTTGCAGCATTTTTAAAAGTTCTGCTCTGGCAAAGGCCGTCTGAAGGGGAGGCCCTTGCAGCAGGAATGCGAGCAGCAGCCGCCTTTCCAGAGTCCAGCCTCCTTCTTGTGAGCGACTGGAGCAGTCTGGCGGAGGAGGAGGAGAAGGAGGAGGAGGAGGAGGACGTGAGCCAGCGAAACGCAGCGGGCTGGAGCTGATGATGAAAGCGGCACGGCCCTGCGCGGACAGGCTCCTTTCCATCCCCCGCAGCCACGGGCACAGGGACACGCACCGAGCCCGGCCCCGCTGCGACCCCGGCGGGGACCCCCGCGGGCCGGGGGCTGCGATGGGGACGGCGCCGCCGGGAGGGGACCCGGCAGAGAGGCAGCGATGGGAGGAAAGGCGCTGCGCTGGAATGTAAATGCACCCACGCTATGGCAATATGCTTGACAGGGCAGTGCGGCTAATGAAGCTTTTAATTGGGGGAGGTGGGGGTGTGTGTGGGGGGGTGGTTTCTACGGAAATATCTCCCGGGATTAAACGGAGAGAAGAGGCTCCTCTCTGCATTCACACACCTACACCACTCTGTGTAACACAGCGGTCCGCAAGGACCACGAACTACAGCAGATACACACACACACACAAAACCAACCTAAACCTACCGAGCTGAAAATGGCTATTTGAAAAAGTAAATACTATATGTGATAGAAAAATTTCGTGATTTTGTTTTCTCATGCCCTTACTTCCAAACCAGCTGCACAGCCAAGCTCAGGCTGCTTGGCCCTTATAACTCTCTTGGCACCGAGTCAAAAGCTGATAAGCATTTGGGCGAGACAGCTCAACTGCTGTGCTGGAAGAAAAACAGCTGCCATGATTGCTGTTTGATTGAGAGCGCTCGCACACACTCACAAAAAACATACCAGGCTGCAAGGACGGGCCACAAATGCCTGAGGATTCAGCTTCAGAAGATCAACATACATTTCCTTAAAAAAAAAAGAAAAAAAAAAAAGAAAAAAAGAAAAGATTATATAGTTTTGCCTCCATACAACCTCCCCTTCTTTAAAGAAAACGTGCTGCGTGGACTTGCTTTTCTTCTTCCCATCCCCCCTCCATAACCTCAAGCAAACTCAAGGAATTGTGCCAAAAGTCCCGTTGCTAGTTACCAAGTGCATTTTTTTAAACGTCCCTTTGATACTTCTTTCCCTCCTGCTTGCCATGGAATATGCAAGTAAGATAATCTTTCCATTACTTACAAGAAGTAATTAAAAAAGAACTTCTAGCTCAGCGTTCCTTTCCCTCTTTCTCTCTTAAGGGGCAAGAGGAGGGAAGCGAGGGGGAGAAGGATGTTTTTTCTCTTTGCCGAGTCCAACATTTGGCTTTTTCCATTTGTGGCAGATCACTGTAACGCTATTGTAAAACAACTTCCTGCCCCTTTTGGCTCACGTTCCAGAAGCTGCTAGGCTAAGTTCATAGCACAAACTTTTTTCCCCCTTGCCGAAGAAGAGAGACAAAAAAAAATCCTGCAAATTATTTTCCCCCTTTTCTGGCTAATGGACTCACAAGGTGAATTTATTGCAGCTCTTTAAGAATGTTACACAAGAGACGTCGGTATCCCAGCTGGATAATTCATAAGATGAAAAGGTGGGGTCATTATAAATATATGTCTGTGTGTGTCTGTGTGTGCCTGCATTTTAATTCTGTCATTTTGAATTGTAAGTCTCAGTACCATCAGGTGGATAATGAGCTAAGCTGCTTCATCTGCCGTACTAATTTGTATATCTATCATAGCACAGATCATTGGCTCAGTACATACAGCCTCCTACTTTCCAATTGCTTTTGTGCTCTAAGGTGACCTGCATCTCTCTCGTCTCCCTCCTCTCCTCTAAGCGCTCAGCCTCACGAAAATACCCACTGGAAGCTCCCAAACCCTCCCTGCTAGAAACGGGAGATGTTGCAGTCTCTCTGCTATAAGCCAAAAAGGAAAACTAAGGCCTCCACAAGTTGCTCTCTCACGGTCTCTCCCTCCCTCCCTCCCTCTGTTTCTCTCATAGCAACAGCATTTCTTGGTGCGCCTGCTTTGGCATACATCAGCATTTCCACCGTCCAAGTGTCCTTTTGCGTCACATCTCGCCATTTCATTCAGCCAATGAAATCTCCTTCTTGCAATAAAAATATATAGACTTTTTCTGTTATTGGTATATTCAAAATTTTTTTCATGTGCTTTCCTAACAAAAAACGTTGTCAGGCATTTGATTTGCCCTGCACTGGGAAGGGGGGGGGGAGGGTGGAGAGGGGGAGGAGACTGTACAAGATTCAACCTTGAAGAGTCTTCTTTGTGGAAAATATGTTACCGTAAGAAAAAAGGGATTACATAGTTACTTAAAGAAAGTCATAGTTGTCCCTCTCACTTACTACTGATTTTGCTTATGCTATCATTGCTTTCCTGATGTACTTTTAAAGCAGCCAGGCAGCTTCGACTGACTGGAAAAGTCAGTACCATGTATGTCTAAGTTTGTAAACTATTCTTCAGGAAAAAGAACATACTAATTGATATTTTATTCCACTAAATATTGATCATGAGGTGATAGGAAAAACTGCAATGTAAAAAGAAAACCCATAGACATACGTTTCTATCCCATCCAAAGTGGCTGCTCTCCAACGCACTATCCTGCAAAATGGAGCGGAGGGTTTCAGAGTCGGAGGCTCTTTCCAAGATGTATTTCCTTCTTCCATAACCTCACAAGTGCAGCATTTCAGTGCCCAGCTGTGGTAAAGATGGTGACAAAGGCTCTGTTCTACGCTCCAGGTATCCCAGCTGGTGAGGCAGCCGTGGAGCTGCACGCCCTGTGCCTGGCACGGCCAGCCCTGCCCGGGCTGGAGCAGCAGCCTGGCCACCGAGCCCAGCTCCAGCCTCGGGCCTGACACTGAGCGAGTCCTGCTCTCAAAATGCACAGTCCCAGCCAAGTCCAGAGGGCACGGGCGGGCACATGTGGCTTTCTCGGAGCTGCCTGGCCGTGCCACAGCTCCAACGACTCCTGCCGTGGCAAATCCAGGGATCTCTGTTACCCTCGGATCTCCAGAAAATGCTCAACCACCAGCATTCTGAGGAGAATACACATTTCTTCTGTAAGCAAAATAGATGTTTTATGGTTTTTTCTTACCAACTTTTTTTTTTTTTTTTTTTTTTTTTTTTTTTTTTTTTTTTTNAATGGTGTGAAACCACAAAATGTTTCGAATATTTATTTTTAGGGGAATTATAGTAAAAGCATACTAGAGATTATCAGGACACAGTTGACAAGATATTTAAACAGTAACTTTCCCACAAATATTTATTTCGGTAAAATGACACTTAGTAATTCTGACCTCTTCTAATAACTAGTCTCTATTGCATATAGACTGTGGATACAGAGGATGTGCATAAATTCTGCATGGATAAAAAGTAAAAGCAAGCAACATTTCTGGATAACAGCTTTAGCAGCAGACAGCCATTATATCCAAATAAAACTCTTATCATTTTTGTTTTAAAATAATAGCATGACATTCCTGATAGTATTTATTTTAACAGAACATGTACAGATGAGAATGTTAACCCTGCACAGAAAAAAAAGAGATTACATGTGATAGTGCAGTCAACAACTTTTAATGCCAATGAAATATAAAAGACAGACCTATTTTTTAGGGAAGGATCAGACGTAGACAAATGGCTTGGTTAAGAGTGTTTTACTTGTATTTAATCAGCTTTCTGAATGACTTTCCCCCTTGTTTCTCAGACGTGATTTTTAGCTCCCTATTTATTTTTATATTTTCTATATAAAATATAGGTTTTCTTGTTCTTTACTCTCCACACCTGCCCCTTCCTTTCTCATTTTTTGTTAACGAGAAAGGAGCTGAGGTTCATCCCTTCTTTTGCCTGCTCCTAATAGGGGTAAATTCTGGTGCATTTGGAGGGTTAAAAGTGCCTCGCCTTTACAGAATTATGGCTCGTATTCATCCACCCAAAGTTACCCTCCCTCAAGGAGACACATAAATGCATTGTGTCTGTCACCACAGTTGTGAAGTAAGATTGAAAGTTGTCTAACTTTAGGTTACTGCAATACTAAAAAATTAGGGATTCAGGAAACAGGAAAACAATTACCTCAAGCCCAACTTCTAAGCTTCACTTAACTGAAATGGAATTCCAAAAAGGGACGTAGAAGAATTATTTTAAGATTCATCATGCCTGAATAAATTCAAATTATGCAAATAGTAGTAAGCCAGTATTTTCACACCACAGTTACTATTACAGAATTTTATATCTCCTTTCTTTTCCTTTATCACATGTTCTGTCTAATGGAAACTCATTATAAATACTCCTGCTGAACACTAATTAATTTGCTTGTATTTTAACTCAGAGTGGCATTTCTTGTTCTTTCCTCTCAGTTTGGTATGATAGAGACATCCACACTGGTCACCTCTAAATAGACTACGATTTTTTTGCTCTCATTTGCAATACAGGGTGGTTTGTAATCTAACAACCTTCAGAAATATTTAATACAAGATGATCAGGTACATGTTTAGGGTTTCTTTTAAAATAATCCAATTAAACATATAATTTTTTTAAAGATTAAGTTATCCATAAAAGTGTAAATTCCTCCTTTTTTATTTTATTGTATCATTAAAATAATTCCAGTGCAGATTATTAAAAAAAAATCACCAAGAATAGTTTTACTTAACATTTAGACAGCTTTTGTTTTTAAAGGCACCCTCTAGGAATTAAAAATAAAAATAATTAAAATCTATCTAGAAAAGCAGTCTTGCACACCATCCTCTGAAAGGACCAGTCTGGGGATTACAGGGGTGCACACTTCAGAGAAAGGACAGCAATTACACATAGTGCCATTGTGAAGGTCACTTACGAAAGATCTATTTACTGCTGGATAACTTGCATTAATTCCGAAGGATCAGTGGCCTATTAAATTATGGGGGGAAAACATTGAAACACCAAATACACAATTTTGAAATGATCTAAACTGTAAAAGCAAACTGAATGAGGATGTATTTCTACACCCTTCCCCTCAAAACATAATGAAACATTTTGCAAAAAACACTTCCTCCAGTACACTGTACTTTAAGAACAGTGTTGCACAGAAAACTTGGCATTAAACTGGTATCAACATTAGTGAAACTCTGGCACTAGGACAAGAGGTTTATTTTTTAATTTAATTTTTCTTTTTCATCAAGAAAGGAGGCATTAAAGGGGATGGTTGCATCCGCAGGTTTTTAAGGGTGCTATCGACCAAAATTTTGTTCACTTTGCAACTTTTTCCCCCCGTTTTTTTTTTTTTTTTTTTTTCCCCTGTACTCTTGCCTCGGGACCGCAGGTGAGCGGCGGCCCTTGGCTGCACGGAGGAGAGGCTGATCCCGGGCGGCATCGCCGGCAGCCTGGCTGTCCCGGCCGGAATGCTGAGTGTGTCCCTGCACTGCTGCTCCGCCCGGGAGAACCGCGCTCACACAGCCGGGGGGGCTCCAGAGCCAGCCCTGCCTCTACCCATGGGCACCTCTGCTTACAACCGGCTGCCTCGCAGAAACAGCTGCTGGAGATTTAAAAAAAAAAAAAATCTATATGTCTATAAATATATATGTAGGAAAAAAGGAGGGAGGAAAAAGAAAGGAAAAGTAACACACTGGCAAAAAAAAAAAAAAAAGAAAGAAAATGTTTGGTTTTAGAGAACGATAAGCTGCAAAAATAAGCAAGCACACATGATGAAATCTTCATCGAAAACTTGCAATTTCTCAGGTCTAAAAAGGGCTTTAAATCCCTTTACATTGAAAATTACTTAAAGGTTTTTAAACTATTCAAGAGCTGTCCAGTGACCAGTTCTTTTATATCTGTGTTTTAATTACACCAGAGTGCAACAATCCTGAACAAAGCCAATTGCAATGCACACAAAATTTACATACAGCACAAATTCCTTTGTGGATTTTTTTGGTAGTGAAATGTTAG